TTTCGGCCCTTTTTGTCAATCTGGTTGATTTTCCTAAAGCTATCCCCACTGCTGACTGTGAAGGTTACTGAGGGGTTTAAATAGTTTAATTTTTTGGAGTCAATATCTTTTCTCTTCCAGCAAAGAATTGTTCTGGAGTGTTTGCTCCTGTTATTGGTAGGTGCTTGGCGCTAGTGTGTTCGAGTGTTTCTCCATTTTGGTTTTAGCCCTGGGGTGGAAATGGCATGTGTTTGGGATATTTCAAGCTGTGCTTCAAGTATCCTGTTCTTCTGTCACAAAAGCCACGCACTCTGACTAGATTCAGGCCCGGCCGTTCTATAGTGAGAGCTGTGGGCTGACGCCAGTGGGCCTCGTTTTGTGCTGTCACGCTGGCTACTGTTGAGCAGCACCTGCATCCCGGGTGCTGCTCACTGCTGCCGATGCAGGGCATTGGGGGGGGGATCCCAGGAGCCCCAGTGTGGATGGGTGCCCTGGTCGAGGTTGTAGGAGGCTCTGCACAGCCTCCTGCCATTCCTCTCTCTTGGTGTTCTACTGCTGTGTTGTCACGCTAATCACAGTTCACTTAATATTTTCCTAATTTCCCCTCTGCCTTTCTGCAGGCCAGGTGCACCTAGTATATGCTGTAGTCACCCATCTGTGTGTGTGGTTTTTTTTTTAAACCTGTATTTTATAGCAAGTTGGTTGCATCTTTTGGAAGCTCACAGGCAAGCACATTCTGCTGCGTCTTCTGGGCTGCTTCATCTTCTTTTACATTTCTTAGGTTTGTGTTCTCAATGTAGAAAATAGACATCAATTTCTGTTTGTAATAGCTATCTTAGAAATGCTTATTCAACTTTAATAGCTACATAGGGGAAGGATGTCCTAAAAGAATTTTGAGCGTGCAGGTGAGGCCCCACAGACATGCAGCCCAAGTCCACTCTGGCCTACCCTGTAACAGAATCAATGTTTATTCCCTTTTCAAAATATAAAATTACCCAGAGCATTTTTTTTTTTTTTAGATTTATTTGTGCATACAGAACTGGGGTACAGGCCAGAGGCTCAGAGGCAGCTAGAGGCTTCACTAGAGACAGAGTGGGGAGCAGAACAGGCAGATTGACGAAGTACACTGCTGAGGGGAGCAGCGGGTGGGTCAGGAGAGGTCTGCCGCGCCATGTGGTCACCTCCGGGGCAGGTGGGAATCGAACTCATGCAGAGGTGGCTTTAGCTTCTCAGTGCTGTGCTTTAACCCGCTGTGCCACCAGGGAGGGCCATACCCAGAGCATTTTTAAAAAAAGATTTATTTATTTATGCGTACAGAATTGGGGTACAGGCCAGAGGTGCAGGGACAGTAAGAGGATTCACCAGGCAGAGTGGGGAGCACAACAGACAGATGGACGAAGTACACTGCTGAAGGGAGCAGCCGGTGGGTCAGGAGAGGTCTGCCGCGCCATGTGGGTCACCTCTGGGGGA